GACGAACACGAGGAAAGACAGAGGACGACGTAGGACGACGACGACGACGCGGGAGGAGGGAGGACGCGACGACGACGACGACGACGACGACGCAAGAGCGCGCGCGCACGCTTTTGTTGAAAATCCGTGTTGCGAAACCTTTTTTTGTTATACATATATATATATATATATATATATATATCTAAGTTTTTTGGACACACGATTTTGAAATCCTTCGGAAACCGATGGGTTTTGAAGGTTTTCGGCATACGCGCGCGACGACGCGCGCGTCTGCACTTCGTCCCTTTTTTTGCAGAGGATTCTCGCGACGGCACACGCGCAAGGGCGTTCGACAGATTTCGACATGCGCGCGCGCGAAGCCCGTTTGGTAGCATTTTGTGAAGATCTTGAAAAACCCATGGTTTTCTGAAGATTTCGCAAGAGCTCGCACGGAAGCTTTTGTAGCAAATCTGTGTTGCAATGCCTTGTGTTTTCGTAGGTTTTTTGGACACACGATTTTGAAATCCTTCCGGCACCGAAGGTTTTTGAAGAATTTCGGCATGCGCGCGCGACGACGCGCGCGTCTGCACTTCGTCCTTTTTTTGCAGAGGATTCTCGCGACGGCACACGCGCAAGGGCGTTCGACAGATTTCGACATGCGCGCGCGAAGCCCGTTTGGTAGCATTTTGTGAAGATCTTGAAAAACCTATGGTTTTCTGAAGATTCCGCAAGAGCTCGCGCGGAAGCTTTTTTAGCAAATCAGTGTTGCGGAACCCTGTGTTTTTTTGATGTTTTTTGGGAGCTCGATTGCGAAATCCTTCCGGCACCGAAGGTTTTTGAAGAATTTCGGCATGCGCGCGACGACGCGCGCGTGTGCACTTCGTCTCATTTTGTGCAAGGGATTCGTGAACAAGTGTTATGTTAGAACCAAAAATGTCACCGCATAGTGTTTTTCCCTACCAAGGCTCTGCCTAGAAGGGTTCTTACTTTATGAGCTTAAAAGGGCCGGGCAGTGGTCCACGCCCCGGGCGGTTCCCCCAGGATCCGCCCCGCGGTTCCCCCAGTGACGCTCCCTTAGCTTAGCGTTGCTTATCTCATCTTAGCTTAGCTTAGCTTATTTCATTTTAGCTTAGCTTCATCTTAGCTTAGTTTTGTCTTAGCTTAGCTTACCTTCATCTTAGCTTCGCCGAGTTTTAGCATAGCAGAGCACAGCATAGCATAGCACAGCGTAGCACAGCACAGCGCACCACAACATATCATAGCACAGCCCAGCATAGCACAGCATAACATATCATAGCATAGCATAGCGCAGCACATGACAGCACAGCATATCACCGCGCAGCATAGCATAGCATAGCATAGCATATCATAGCATCGTATAGCTTAGCATAACACAGCATGCCATACCACATATTAGCATATCATAGCATAGCGCAGCATCGCATATCATAGCATAACATAGCACAGCATATCATAGCGCAGCATAGCATGGCATGGTATATAATAGCATAGCACCAATGCTGCTTTCCTAGGGGCTCCAACTTCTAGGTAGGGTCGCACTGGGGTAATTTACAAGGGACCTTCATGGAGGGGGGGTATCGGTTGGCATTAGACATTGTGGTTCCATATTCAGGATGGACATGTGGTCATAATCGTATCTGATTTACATACCCGAAAAAGGGGGCCGATAACGCCGGGGGGGGGGGTAGATCCTAGTCTGTTTTTAGAAAAGGAAAATAAAGTGCCGCGCCTGCTACGCCCCGCGACCCTGAGACGGATGGAGACCGCGGTGAGGGACCACCCCCTGCGCACCGTCTGCAATGTCTAGAAAGTGCCACGCCTGCCACGCCGCGCGGCCCTGGGACGGATAGAGGCCACGGTGAGGGACCACCCCCTGCGCGCCCCCATTGGTGTCGAGAAAACGCCACGCCTGTCACGCCTTGCGACCTTGAGACGGATAGAGACCAAGGTGAGGGACAACCCCCAGCGCACCCCCTTATAGTGTCGATAAAGTGTCACGCCTGCCACCCCTTGCTCCTGAGACGGATAGAGACCGCGGTGGGGGACCACCCCTGCGCACCCTCTACGGTGTCGAGGAAGTGCCACGCCTGAGCACCCTCGATGGTTTCGAGAAGGTGCCACGCCTGCCACGCCTTGCGACTCTGGGAAGGATAGAGACAACGGTGAGGGACAACTCCCTGCGCACCCCCTATGGTGTCGAGTAAATGGCACGCCGGCCACGCCTTGCGACCCTGATACGGATAGAGACCACGGTGACCGACCACCCCCTGCGCCCCCCGTACGATGTCGAGAAAGTGACACGCCTGCCACGCCTTGCGAATATTGCGCGCATGTGTTGTGTGGTATGCGCGTCATGTGTATGATGCGTGTGCGGCTGTATTTGTACGTGTGTCTCATGTGGGTGTCCAATATGTTGACGCGTATCATGGATGTGCCATGCATGTGTTGCGCGTGGGGGGAGGAAGGAAGAGGAGGAAGAGACGGGGGAGCGGAAGATGGA